CCCTCCCCCCCCCCCCCCCCGCTGATTAATGTTACAGTATAGGATTGAGTATAAGCTTGTGGAAAATGGTTACCCTGGGGCCCGCCACAACTGGAGTGAATTTAGTTTATGTATGGCACTGGGCGCCACAATGCCTCTCCCAGACCTTTAAAAATTTGCTTTCCCCCATTCAATAAGTATAACAGAAACATTGTATTCAAGTATACTAAAAGTAAATCTCTTGATTTAGAAATAGACAAACATTTTCTGGGGACTCCTCAGACTGCTCCACCGAATAGGATTTATCGGCGCCCTCGATATTTGCCCTATTTCCCGATGAAAATGTTCGCTAATTTTGGTGCCGATAGATACACTGCCTAGTGGCGTAGCTACTATTAGTGCCGCTCAGGGGCATCATTTCAGGATTTTTCAAAGAGTGGGGGGCAATACTAAAACTTGGTCGGTTTGCTAAGTTGTTTATTACTGGAGGCGCCAAAATACATAGCAATTTAAATAAAACCTGCACATTCAGGGGGGGGGGGATGGATGCCCCTTACCCTACACAAACGACGTTCCTAGCGCCGCTCTCCCTTTCACGTTGAAACCTCTGCAGTTGTCCGAAATTGCCGCACCTCAATACAAAGAAAAAAGTGACACCTGGGCAGGATCAGCCCATCCACCTCGCTTTCTACGCCAGGGGTGTAGCTAGAATTTTTGTACCCCCTCTAAACTCTGAAACCCATTATGGTCAACCATTAAATACCACTTTCCCCAACCCCCGAAACCTCTGAAACGCCCACGGGGGGAAAATGTCTGAAAGAAACACTGCATACGGGAATTTGAAGTAAATAATATTACCTTTCCGCCTATGCCTCCCATGAAACCTGAATACATCCGCCACCTCTAAATCAATAGATATTTAACATTTACCCCCCCCCCCTCCTTTTCTTTGGACAGCACCACTATTTAAGTTCAATACTACCTTTCCGCCTATGCCTCCCATGAAACCTGAATACATCCGCCACCTCTAAATCAATAGATATTTAACATTTACCCCCCCCCCCCTCCTTTTCTTTGGAAAGCAGCACTAATTAAGTTCAATACTCTAAAGGGTCGAAATTCAATCTCTTAGGACCCTGTACACGATTAGCAGCACTAGTAAGATAGATTACATACACTATTATACATGCATTAAACAATTGTGTATTAAGTACTTATTTAAAATAAATATTTGTATTTCTAAAGCATTTGAAAATAACATAATAAAAACGCCAAAAACTAAACTACGTTGAATTTTAAAAATAAAAATGGATCAACACATTCCAACAGCCTTAGAGAGTATCCTCTTCCCCAAATCAACTTTAAAACTACAGACATTTGTTCGAGCTCTTCTAGCCGCTTGGATTGGAGACATTGTTTTGTTGTTGTTGTTTTTTTTGGCATTGCATTGACGGCAGTGTCTTTTCTCCTTTTACCACTTTACCCCGTCTCAGGTGGTGGTGATAACATTTAAAAACGAAAAATTAAAAAAAACATGTTTCTGGAAGCGGTGGTTGGGAGGCGAGAGAAACTGAACATTTAGCACTGCCGAGGGAAAATAAAAATGTCTACTCTGTTGCCCCTGTGTCACAATGTGACAGCACTATGTCTACTCTGTTGCCCCTGTGTCTCAATGTGACAGCACTATGTCTACTCTGTTGCCTCTGTGTCTAAATGTGACAGAACTATGTCTACTCTGTTGCCCCTGTGTCTGAATGTGACAGCACTATGTCTACTCTGTTGCCCCTGTTTCTGAATGGGACATCACTATGTCTACTCTGTTGCCCCTGTGTCTGAATGTGACAGCACTATGTCTAATCTGTTGCCCCTGTGTCTGAATGTGATAGCACTATGTCTACTCTGTTGGCCCTGTGTCTGAATGTGGCAGCACTATGTCTACTCTGTTGCCCCTGTGTCTGAATGTGACAGCACTATGTTTATTTTGTTTTGACTGTGAGTAAATGTGACAGCTGTTGTCTACTTGGTTCCTGCTATGAGTGAATGTGACAGCAGTATCCCTACTCTGTTCCCGCTGTGAGTGAATGTGACAGCAGTATGTCTACTTTGTTTCCGCTGTGACGGAATGTGACAGCAGTATGTCTACTCTGTTCCCACTGTAAGTGAATGTGAAAGCACTATATCTATTTTGTTCTTGTTGTGGGTAAATGTGTTTACATAATTTTCCCTAATGACGAAAAAAACCCCCCCAAACAAATAAGGTCCAATTCGGTTAATTTTCAAATTCTGTGAGAGAAGGCGATGTACAAAAAAAGTCATCTAACGAAGGGTCATCTATACTAAAGTCATCTAACAATGGATCTACACAAAAGTCATCTAACGAAGGGTCATCTATACTAAAGTCATCTAACAATGGATCTACACAAAAGTCATCTAACCAGTTACGTTGACCCGGGCTAAGGCTTTCAAAATTGTCAAGAATGACGGCTACTAAACCATTTCCACCTTGATCATCTGAACTGCTGGATGTTAGAGTTGGGTTTGAAGCTGTTGGTGTGAGATTAAGGTGAGGTTGTTGAACACACGATGTGTTGTCTTTGGAGATGTGAACATTATTTGGGGACGGAGGGAGATCTTCATAACTCATGAGTGAATCATCTAAACGTGTGGTAGACATTGTCTCACCAGTCTGTGTTGGGTTGTATTTATTATTTAATTGTGTTGTGTCCAATCCTCTTGGTTTATAGTATATCCCTTTGGGTTGGTTTATTTTCGTGTGAAGCGGATTTGGATAGCTTACATTGGGTTGGCATGTGATCATGTTGGATGGATTATGATTGACCCCATGGGGTTGGCCTTTGATCATGTCGGATGGATTATGATTGACCCCATTGGGTTGGCCTTTGGTCATGTCGGATGGATTATGATTGATCCTATTGGGTTGATCTGTGGTCATGTAAGATGGATTATGATTGATTCTATAGGGTTGACCTTTTGTCATGTCAGATGGATTATGATTGATCCTATTGGGTTGGCCTTTTCTCATGTCAGATGGATTATGATTGATCCTATTGGGTTGGCCTTTCGTCATGTCAGATGGATTATGATTGATCCTATTGGGTTGGCCTTTTGTCATGTCAGATGGATTATGATTGATCCTATTGGGGTGGCCTTTTGTCATGTCAGATGGATTATGATTGATCCTATTCGGTTGGTCTGTGGTCATGTCAGATGGATTATGAATGATCCTATTGGGGTGGCCTTTAGTAATGTCAGATGGATTATGATTGATCCTATTGGGGTGGCCTTTTGTCATGTCAGATGGATTATGATTGATCATATTGGGTTGGCCTTTTATCATGTCAGATGGATTATGATTGATCCTATTGGGTTGGCCTTTTGTCATGTCAGATGGATTATGATTGATACTATTGGGTTGGTCTGTGGTCATGACAGATGGATTAGGATAAACTAGCTTACTTTGTTGTTTTGGTTTCAGTGTTGTAAGTGTGGGACCTTTAGAAGTAAAGCGTGTTGGGCCCACTGGCATTACGTGCTGTGAAATGTAATTTGTTTGTGATGTACAATGATTTGAAATTTCATGATGTTGTAGTTTATTGGCTTGTTGAGACGAGGGCTTAGTATGAAAATTTGAGGGGATATTTCCGAAATCGGGCATTAGGCTGGGCAGTGCCGTCGGGGCTCGAAAATGTCCTACAGTACAAACAAATGGTTCACGAGACGATTCAACATTTCCATTTTTCTTCTTCAATGGCGTCATGGTGGTTTCCGCCTCTGGATAAATGCTTGATCTTTTAGGGGCGCAGGGAGTGTGACTCTTCACTCCTTCTAACACATGAAGCGTAGCTGTGACACATTGATGCATGTCGTTTAACAGGTCGGCTCCGAATTTCATTGACATTATTTTGCCGCACGCATCTACAACTGCACGATGCACGCCCCTGACTTTCCCCAGCAGGCTGATCAATAACGTAAGATCGAACAGGTCATTGATCTTGGCGTCATTCCACAGCCTGGCCTCCTCATCGAGCTCTAGGGGAAACCTTTTCTCCGCCAATAACTGACTCTCTAAGGCTGCGTACTTTTTCTGCAAAATGTCTTTTGTGTCTTTGGGATTTGAAGTTGGGTTCTTCCACGGAAGTCCTACTTTCTCATCCCACCAAACAGGTTTGCACTTCTCACTCCATACAGTTTCTTGACCTCTGCCTTTTCCCACCAACTCTCTAGACAGAAGCCGAACAGCGAAATCAAGCCAGGCTTTTTCGCTGTTGATGGGGTCTCTTTTAGATCCCTGAGTGTCCGAGGGCCAGCTAAGCTGACACGGGCACAAGGCACAGCAGCTCATTATTTGGGCTGCTGGGTTCGCTGGTCGTGTTCACTGTGGCAATGTCTTTTAAATATTTGCACAAAGTGTCTCGATTCTTTTGAAGCAGTGTGTTGAAATTTATAATTATCTTTTCCCTTGAAATGTTCAACGCAGTGAAACGATTTCTCATATAAGCATCACGAATCAACTGCTCTGAGAATACTCTGGGCCTCTCAACGTAACGGTTTGGCTGCTCTGAGAAATAATTTGTTGAACTTGAAGGTTCCATTTCCAAATTTGAGCAGGTATGAGCTGTGCGTGTTTTTGTCACCTGTCCTCCCTTACAATTAAGTTTGAAGCAGATCATTTCAAGCCGTGAGTGTGAGTTTGAAATTTTATTTCCTCTTGACCTTTTCCACTGGTTACAACTTTCAAAGAAATCATCTAAAAGTTTTTTGAGTTCCTCTTTAATACATTGATTTGAGATGTACTGATAGTTATTTAATGTAGACGCCAATGTCTCGAGAGTACGATTGGTGTGGTGGTAGTAATTATATACTATATAAGAATGATTGGTGTGGTGGTAATAATCGAATACTCCAGTACGATTGGTGATAAATTTGTGGATTTCAAGCTCACGCAATGGTAAGTTAAATTCCATCGGCGTATCACCCAGTGGAATGTGTTCCATCGGCGTATCACCCAGTGGAATGTGTTCCATCGGCGTATCACCCAGTGGAAACACAAGGTAGCCGCATAGTGGGTCACCTTACACAAGGTAGGGCGTATCACCCAGTGGAATGTGTTCCATCGGCGTATCACCCAGTGGAATGTGTTCCATCGGCGTATCGCTCAGTGGAATGTGTTCCATCGGCGTATCACCCAATGAGATATGTGCAATCAGCGTATCACTCAGTGGAATGTGTTCCATCGGCGTATCACCTCGCTTGAGAGACGCAATGCCATTTTCTTCTTTCATTTTAACCGATTGCTGGATTGGGTGCAATCTATAAAATAAATTAAAGAAAAGAAAATGTTTTTGAAAATTTCAGTTAACTTAATTATACTGAAAGCGAGCATTGACTATTAGTTTAAGTGACATTTAAAAAAAAAAAATCCATGTTTTATAAATGAAGTAAACGCCATGCGTAATGGCCAAATTCATGGAAAGATATTAAAATATTAATGTATTAGTTTGAAGATGAAGAAAAGGAAAGAATTGAGGTAAAGTTTTGATGGGCTCATGACTACAACAATACATTCGTAGTTTCCTAAAGCAGCTGGATCAATGGGTGGATGCGGCTGAACTGAGTGGTTGTGGTGGCACTAAGTGGTTGCAGTGGCTCGAAGTGGCTATTCGGACTCGAGTCCGAGAAGTGAGAGGTTGTGATTAAAAAAAAATAAAAAATATTGTTAGGTTGTAAGACGAAATTCGGTATAAAATGAAGGATAATTGAATGGACTATATGTTTGTAAACTTACCTCTTCAGTTAAACTATATATATATATATATATATATATATATATATATATATATATATATATATATATATATATTATATAAAGTCTTTTACAAATATATTTATATTTAGAAAACGATTTTTATATATATAAATTGAAGAGTCTATATTTGTGTAAATTTATCTCTTCAGATAAAATATATATATATATATATATATATATATATATATATATATATATATATATATATATATATATGATATAAAGGCTTTTACAAGGATTGATGGATCTTGACCAAGCTTGGCATATATATCCATCATTATCCAGAAGGAAATCTTAAGGGGTTATGAACTTTTTATAACTTTCCGTTTGCAACCGGGGGCCCCGAATTCGTTTTTTTCCTTATATGAGCTATGTAAAAATAATTAGAAACAAATACTCCTACATGAGTAGATGGATCTTGACCAAACTTAGTACACATATATTTTATTATCCATATTCAAATACCGAAGGGTACTGAACTCATAATATCCATTCTTCTGGGACCGGGGTCCCATTTCATTTTTCCTTATATAAGCTATATAAATAAGGCTTAATACTTCTTCATGAATGGATGAATCTTGACCAAACTTATTTCACATACACATGATCATCCATATTCAAATTGAAGGGTACTGAACTCATAATATCCATTTCTCTGGGTCTGGGGGCTCCAGTTCATTTTTCCTTATGTAAGCTATAATATGAATATCAATAGGCTTGGACAACGGTACAGGCCATTGTTAACAAACATGATTTGTTTGTCTCCTAGTATCTTATGGAACGTTCTCGATTTGACGAGAAACGTAAAAAAAATGTCAAAAGCGTTTCTGGACGCGTCAGTAGATCCACTATATAAAAAAGGGGTTTCAGAGATTCACGGAGATTCAGATAGATTGATAGATATTTTTAACTTGACGAGACGTGTATTATTCTTTGTGTACTCATATGTGTTTATTCGCATTCATCATTCATCATTATTAATTGGCACATTGTACTAATTGTGTACCGGTACAAGATCTACCATACTCTGTAAGTTAATGATTTTAATTATATCTTCTTTTGTTTTGTAATTACATTAAGACTTAAATAAATATTATTAATTGTAATTAGTACTGTTTTGGGTGTCGTATTTTTGCATTTGTATTTCTCTATGGTATCGTCCCTTTGTTAGGCACTGTTTACAACGAGTCATAACTTAAAACAAGAGATTAATTTCTCGCAATCATAGTAACCTGCCATTCCCAAAAATCTCATTACTTGTTTTCTAGAAGTGGGTGGTGGAAGTGATATAACAGCATTTATCTTAGCTTGAACAGGCTTTACATGTCCTTGACCAACTATGTGACCTAAATATTCCACAATTGCATGACAAAATTCACATTTATTTAAGTTTACAGTTATATTTGCCTGCAAAATTTTTTTCAACAGAGGTCTTAATTGGTTTACATGAGCTGAAAAATCTTGAATGTAAATAATTACATCATCGATATAGGCACTGCAATTTTCCTGGTCAGCAATAATGTTATTTACTAGACGTTGGAATGTAGCTGGGGCATTTTTCATTCCAAACGGCATGACTTTATATTGGTATAAACCATCTGGAGTACAAAAAGCAGAGATTTCTTTTGCTCTGTCAGATAGAGGAACCTGCCAATAACCTGATAGTAAGTCTATCTTGGTTACATATTTGGCATCATCTATTCGATCTATAAGATCGTCTATCCTTGGAATCGGAAAGGAATCAGTCTTTGTGAATGCATTCACTTTCCTGAAGTCAGTACAAAACCTGTAACTTTTGTCAGGCTTTGGGACTAAAATACATGGTGAACTCCAGTTACTAGAGCTTGGTTCAATTATACCATTTTCAAGCATGTATTTTATTTCAGACCGGATTATTTCAAGTTTTTCCGGATTGACCCTATAGGGGTGTTGCTTGACCGGAACTGCATTGCCAATGTCAACATCATGTACAGCAATGTTGGTTTTATTAGGCACATCAGGGAAGAGTAAAACAAAATCTGCAATAACAGACTTAACAACATCCTTCTCTGACAATAACAAATGTCTTAGTTTCTTATCCAAGTTAGCCAGTATTTCTGAATTTTTAAGTTTGTAATTACCAACTTTTCTGGGACACTATCAAAGGTTTCAGTAACATTTTCTTTAGGTATTGAAGTTAAAGTTGAGATTGTGTTAACATTAGGTTCTGAGGATGGACAATGATCATCACATTTTCTATCAACATATTCTTTTAACATGTTAATCTGACATAACTGTTTCTTTCTTTTACGATCTGGTGTTAACACAATGTAATTTAAATCATTAATTTTGGACTTGACACAACATAAGGACCAAAATATCTAGCTTCTATCGAGTACATTTAAAAGTATGCTGTTACTATATTTTAAAGCACGATGCCATTATGCCAGGTCTGCACAACATACGGCCCGTCAACACCCGTTTAGCGGCCCGCGAAATATCTTTATTATTATTATTTTTTAATAGCTTTCGCCCCTGTCCTACTGTCATTATTATCAAGTTTTTCTTAAAGTATTACGGCCCGCCTGACAGGTCGGCATTCAACAATTTATAGCAACGCCTGTCCTAACTTTAAGTCCTGCTTTGTGATGAAATATCATTTGAAAACAGGTTGCACGTCATTGTTTGATGCTTAGCGAGAACTATATTAAAATTATAGACCTTATATATCAGTGGCGTAGCTAGGGTTGGTGTCACCCGGTGCGGTGGGTGGGTTTCCCCGGGTGGGGAAAACGTAGGAGTCCCCCCCCCCCCCCCGACTTCAACGATGGATTTCTTCTTGATAAAATAAGTCCACAGTATAAGACTGACAAGAACAAAAAAAAAATTAATTGAAGCCCAGGAGGCAAATGTATTTAAGAACAGCAACATGTACTTTGCATCGCCCGACCACATCGTGTTTGGTATCAAAGCTTTTTGTCATGAAAGTTACCGAACACTTCAGTCTGCGTTAAATAACGGCGTTTTACTGACTTGTTACCCCATGTCTGACGCATCAACCTTGAACCTTTTACAAAATCCATCATTTGGATTGGTTAAATGTGTGAGAAATTTATGTGTGATTAGTTATCCCTTTAAGAAGTTAGAGCAAGCAGTGTGTGCTCTGTAAAAATGCAATTTTTCATCTTGGTGTCACCCCCTGAAATAGTGTCACCCGGTTCGGTCCGCACCCCCCGCACCCCTTAGTTACGCCACTGCTTTATATTGTTGTTTAATAAAGTGTTATTTAAGTCTTTAAACAGGAAGTAAGAATCGGCCTACACGACCTATTTTCGTAACAGTAGCATATTTATTATGAAATAGTGTAAGCCACCAACAAGATTAGCCTTAAATATAGGGATCATCAACTATATAGAGCGTAGCGATATTTCATCGGTTCCAACTAAAGCCACTAGCTACTCCTATTCTGTTTAAAATTTTTATAAAAATTGCATTGCTAATGTTTTGTAGGAATTATCGTCATAATGTTGCCTTGTGTTTTCACAAATGAACTCGCTAGGTATCACTTAAATAGTGCTCAGTAGTAGCAGTATTACAGTATATTTCATCCGCCGCATGTTTAACGTGCGTTTGACGTGCCGCCCCCCCCCCCCCCCCAACACACGGTTTTTCGGCTACGTCAGTGATTCCTAAATTATTTATTTTTATTCCTGGCGCCTATGCTAAATTTAGGTTTTTACCAGACACCCGTTGTTATATTCTAACATGTACAATTCGAAATAGCGAATACTTAAACAAAATAAAATAAAGGTTTTGTTAAAAATCTAGTTAATGTAAATAGTAGCTCCTCAAGTGTTCGCACCGCGATCGCTAGATGTCACATTGGATTAAAAGTGGCAATAAATTATATTAAGTGTAATATTACGAGGCGCACCTGTGAGGAAGCTGAAGTAGCCAAGGACAGGGCCATGCCAAGGAAAATCGGGACCTGTGGTGAAGACGGAAAACGGGGGCTACTTAATGTTAAGAACCCCACCCTCCGGGGGCGGACAAGTAAAAATACGATTTTTGACGCCACTTGTCTTTCTGAAGTGACTGCCCTCTTTGCCCCATTCTCATGGCTCTGTCCAAGGGTGGTATGCCAACCAGAGCAACGCGGCGTATATAATGAGAACCACCAATGAAGAAGAAAAATAGAGGGTACATCTGACACAGTTCGCTTGATGTCACATTGTTAAATTGATAAATAAAACACATTGACAGTATAATGTAAACTTACTTTCAATGTTTGATGCGATGCTTGAAAATGTAATTATTATTCGTTTCATAAGTTTATATGAAAAGTAAATGGGAGTATGAGGACAATATTCAAACTTAAAGAATAGTTGTTTAAATAGTATCATTAACATATATATAATATATATATATATAAGAATGAGCTATGCTGACATAACGCTAAAGAACCGAAAACATTTAAATACGTTCGGATTCTTGAAAACGATCACAGTTATTTTCTCTTATTTTACGGAAATCAAATAAATTTAAATGCGAAAAAAAAAATTATATATCCGCTTTTATTTTAGAAAAAGATTAAATACTATTATTACAAATTACAATTACATTTAAAATAATCCCTTTTAAATAATTGAAAAAAATAAAGTAAAAAAAGATTATGATCAAAGAATTACACCGTAATTACATTTATCGGGAAAACCCAAACATCAGTTGTCTTTATTGCGTTTTTTAGTGCGTTTTTATTGCGAAATAAAATTAAAATATTTTTTTTCTAAATAAACACGCAAATGACGTCATAGCGCGAATCGTCAATTTTACACAAAACTCTTAAGTTTCTTTGACCCCGCGTTACAAACTTGACAATGTATTTCTTCTTCTTCTTATATTTGAGGGGCCCACGATCAATTTGTTGATCATTCTGGCTCCTGGTTTAAATTCAGAGTTTGCCTTCTCTTAGATGGGTTGCCGTCCAAGGCTAACGAGTCCCCATCCACCCGAGGTGCTTGGGATGTTGGCTTTGGTGGGGATTGAACTCCAGACCACCAGCTATTTGCTTTGAGACAGTTAATACCGCTCTGCAACCCAGCACCCCTTCTTAAAAGTAAGAGTAAAATTAATAAATACAATGGGTTGCCTTTTAAATTGTTAATAAAACACACACACAAATATTAGATATTTATTTTAAACAATTAGTACGTTTTTACTTTTTTTAATTCCAAAAATAGACTTTTATTAAATTTATAACGTAATAAAAAATTAACCTTTAAATATACTTCTGATAAGAAAATGCTGCTTAAGTCAACCAGTGCAGCGAAACTCCACAGCCAAATAGCGTTCACTAATCCACTTATAACTCATCCAAATAGAACAAACCATATGAAGTGCAAAATATGTTAGTTTGGATATAGAAGGGACTACAATCCGGTGGAAGATTTTTATCAATTTTATTTAAATCGGGGGGGGGGGGGGGGGGGGAGTTGGTCATTTTGCCCCAGACAGCACAAGATAAGACTAAAGATAAAGGAATGAATTTGATTAATGATTAACCTTCTTGGGTACATACAAATGGAAGATAGGAAATAGGATGTGTACATTTTTACGTGGATGGTAATATATTTAAATTCTATGGTATTACATTTGGGAAAAAAGAGATGTTACATTCTCTTTTTACAAATATGGGTATGTTCATTTTTCCCCAGGCAGCACAAGAGACGTCTAAAATAAAGGAATGGATTTGATAAATATGACCTGGCGCCGTCCTATCTGAAAGAGCTGCTGACGCCTTATGTACCCACTAGACAACTCCGCTCATCCGACAGTGGCAAACTCTCCACACCACGTGTTCGCCTTGAGACTTGCGGAAAGCGCACTTTCGCATTTGCTGGTCCAACAATTTGGAACGCCCTTCCAGTCGATCTCAGAAACAACCAGACACTGGAGTCCTTAAAAACCGATTTAAAGACACATTTATTTCGCAAACACCCTCTGGGATGATTGTCTACCATAGTTTCCATTTAATGCATATTAGCTGCGTTTCTTAGGGTTGAAATGGGTTGAAAGACTTTGACATGGTATGCTTGTAATTATTTTTTTTTGTTTTTTGTTTTTTTTAAATGTGGTAAATTTTAGATATTTTTTTTTTTTTTTTTTTTACTTTTCTACCGCGCTTCGAGCCTTTAGGGATGAAGCGTGTTTTTGAAATAAACTTTATTATTATTATTAAATATTAACTTTCTTGGTACATGCATATTTGAGGTAGGAAAAAGGATGTGTACATTTTTATTTGAATGACAATTCATTTAAATTCTATGGTACTGCATTTGTGAAAAAAGAGATGTTAACTTCTCTTTTTACAAATAAATATATGTTTGACAATCAAGAAAATCAATGGCGTTAACAAAACGTGGGTACATTTTTATAAGTGAATATCAAAACCCAATCATTTTTACACACTTGAAAATTTAATTTTGAAAAATGGAAATGGGTTAGTATTTTATTTTTTAAAAAATGGAAAATGTATTTTTTTTTTACTTTGCGAATTTTTATGAAATTAACAATTTTTTATGAAATTAACAATTTTTTATGAAATTAACAATTTTTTATGAAATTAACAATTTTTTATGAAATTAAGAATTTAAGAAAGAAAAAAAAAAGACACCCAAGTCTGTTAAAGCGAGAAAAATGGTTGCGTGATTCTTAGTCAAATAAAGAATTCTTTGTTTCACGATTTGATAATGAATAATTAAATAGACAAGCCAAAAGAGTTTGATAAAATCTTTGACGAAGATATCAATATATCAAATTCCTTTATAAAATTTATGTCATATATTGAGTTTTTGTTGTAAATTTAAGATTATGTTTGAGACATATCAAATTCCTTTATAAAATGTATGTCATATATTGAGTTTTTGTTGTAAATGTAAGATTATGTTTTCACAATGTTTAAGGTTAGGAAAAAGGGTGTGTACATTTTTACGTGGACGACAATTTATTAAAATCCAATGATATTACAGTTGTGAAAAATAGATGCTATATTCTCATTTTACAAATGAAATATGTTTATCAATTGAGAAAATCAATGACGTTAACAAAACATAAGCACATTTACATAATTATACGCATGAATATCAAAACCCAATCAAAATGAAAGTTTAATTTTCAAAATAAAGATGGTTTAAGATTTTCATAAAAAAATAGATAGATGACAGACAGACAGACAGGCAAACAGAGAGAGAGAGAGAGAGAGAGAGAGAGAGAGAGAGAGAGAGAGAGAGAGAGAGAGAGAGAGAGAGAGAGAGAGAGAGAGAACTCTCTCTCTCTCTCTCTCTCTCTCTCTCTCTCTCTCTCTCTCTCAAGAGAGAGGGAGAGAGAGTTAGACAGACGGACAGACAGACAGAAAGTGAGGTGGGGATATAGATAGATAGGCTGACGGACAGACAGAACGCTTCCATGAATAGTTGTGCAAAAGGCATCTTTTATTCGGTAAATTATATCTTTACATATATAATAATTAATGTATGTATTTCCCGTATGTGCTCCTATTCCATCTATCCGATTGCGATAAAACTTTTGTGAGTTGTTTTGCGCAGGCGCGTAAAGGTTTCAGAAATATTCCTTTTGGGGCCGGGGATCCTAAATTGTTACTTTTTAAATGAGCTCTACAAATATAATATCAACCCGAGCTATTGAATGGGTGGATGGCATTGAATCAAATCCAAGCGACATTTCAGTTTGTGTGTGACATAATAAGTAGGTTTCTGAATTTGTACAACTATTTTACAATTTTGCATTAGGGGCCGGGGGCCATATTTTAAATTGTTTTTTTAAAAATGTGAGATATATAAATACGATTTTAAACAGAGCTACTGCATGGGTGGATCAATCGCTACAAGTGTGTGGAGTAAATGTTTAAAATCCATGCTGCTCACGTGGTCAGCTGTATGTTGCCTCCTCACGCGTCGAAAAACCTTTTAATTTATTTGTGTACTCACCAGATGGGGGAAAAAAAATTCTTTTTAAAATGACTTCAAAAGCGTAATTGAAACACACATACTTTTTTCTTTGAGTGGCATTGCAACGTATGCCTGGTTCTCACTAGTGTATCTCTCTCTCTCTCTCTCTCTCTCTCTCTCTCTCTCTCTCTCTCTCTCTCTCTATCTATCTATCTATCTATCTATCTATCTATCTATCTATATATATATATATATATATATATAGAGAGAGAGAGAGAGAGTGTGAGTGAGATGGAGACAAACAGACAGACAGGCAGATAGATAGATAGGTAGATAAATAGATAGATAGATAGATAGATAGATATATAGATAGATAGATAGAAATTTAAAGATAGATAGATAGATAGATAGATAGATAGATATAGATAGATAGATAGATAGATAGATAGATAGATAGATAGATAGATAGATAGATAGATAGATAGATAGATAGATAGATAGATAGATAGATAGATAGATAGATAGATAGATAGATAGATAGATAGATAGATAGATAGATAGATAGATAGATAGATAGATAGATAGATAGATAGATAGATAGATAGATAGATAGATTAAAGTATCAACAGGTGAACCAAACTAGACTAAATCTGCACGCTTGTCCAATGCTTGCAACGCTCCATGGAAACAGTCTAATGTGAATGCCTATTTACCCGCCACTTCGCAAGGCGTTCCATTCTATTTTTGACGCTTAGAGAAGTCATGGCAGGGTGAAGCTAAAACTAAAATGTAGATAACGGATTTTACTTACCCAAAAAAAATGCTCAAAGTTATTTCTGAACAATTTGAAAGTTGGTTGACCCAGTAGAGAGCGATGGTGCAATGAATGGTTTCCCCGCAATTTATGCTCAAGAACGAACCAATCATATCACTCCAGCCTGCGTCAGACGTGGTTAACCATATCACGGGGTACGGATAGAGTTGTTTTTTCAATCTAATAAATTTCCTGGAAGTGTTTTTTTAAGAAAGAAAAGATTGATTTGTTATCAGTCGAACGGATGTTTATAAATGACGCAAGGGCGGAGATCACAAATATTCCTTAACTTTTAGATTTTCTCTCCCGAGATTTCACACCGTGTTTAGCAAACATGCTGGGATATCTCGGGTAAATGTTTTTTAGAATACAATTTTTGTTACATTTCAAAAAAAAAATAAAAAAAAATTAGCAGGTGATATATTGTCCCCATTTTTTGTTTCAATTGACAAAATCACCCCATGAGTACATTTGCACGTCATTTGTTTTGTTCATTTGTTTTTATGGCCACCCCGTAACACCAAAATAAATATCGCACCATAAGGTACTTGACCCTCAGATTAAAAGTCTTTAACTCTACCACAACTGTGTTAGCCGGGCTACCTTTCACGTGACTATCATAGAGGCCCTCTCCTACGCCACTGCACGCTAAGACGAATTGTGGAGAAGAAACGATTTTTTTTTTCCCGGAGCTATTTTTAAAGTGAAGTCAAAACCGATTGTATGAAACTTCCACGTGATTGAAACTTTGCACTGTTGGAAAACCCAGGCAATGTTGCATTATGAAATCTACAGACCCAAACAGTACCACATTCTCTCTGACTTCGTACTCTTCTAAGGTCCGAACTAAGTTGTAGCCAAATAATCGAATCATTATAATTAGGCTAATGATGCTAAAACATGGTGTTTTTGTTTTGTTTCAAAGTTTAGTGAACTCTTCAACCATAGTGTCCTTTTTAAAACTTTTTTTTTTTTTTTGTAATGTGTAACAAATTGGTTAGGAGGTGGGGGTCGGAAGCATAACGATTCTCGAATCAGCCATATCTTAACCGTAGCTGTAGAAGTGGAGCACTGTGTTGCCGAAATTCAGCAAACATAAAACGTGTCATATACTTTATATTCAAGAATTAGATTCGTTTTCAACGTTAAAAATAAACCGGGGATAAAATGATACGAACTCCAGGATTTGATTTTTAATAAAGCCGGGAAATTCGACAATTGTCCACATTTTAAGTTGACAATCTGATCGTGCGTAAACAATTTTTACAAGATGTAAACTCAAGGTGAAGTGTTGTAGTTATCAAAAAAACAAGTAATAAGCAAGTTTGATGTATTAATATTTTTTAAAAATGTATTTGATGCGTTGGGTTGGGGTTGGTGCAAGTGGCCCAACGGTGGAATAACATTGTTGCCGACCTCTGCCTATTTTAATGTAGTGAAAGAAAACATTCTGACCCCTTCATACAAAAAATATTTTGAATATATTTCATCATCAAATGTGTGTGCACGAACTGTCTTCAAAATGTATAACAGTTTCATAAAATACCTCTTGGTTATGGCTCTAGGGCCAACTCTTGGGTAATATTTATAAGGCAGTTCCGATGGCCAAAAATGTCCGCAGCCCACCCAAAGTCGGATACATCATCATTCAGAACCATTTATTAAAAAAACAAAACAGTTTTCAACATGTCAATCAGTGCACAAAAATAGGCCTGTTGATTTTATGGCCGTTCAGTCATGTACCTGACGTCACTCAACCATTTCAGCTCGAAGGTTTAGTTTCGTTCTCACAATAATGTGAATCTAGGAGTTAACGGAGGAATTCGGGCATTGTGTGCACAAGGTCTTTCGAATGGATCGTGCTTGACGCAGTGGACAAGCGAGGCAGTGTGTCCCGTTATCTTGCACAGGGAAATCTAAAAATAACGAGCCTTGAAATAGCGCTATCTCTGGCATCTGGGCTAACTCGGCCCGATACGTAATAATTATTTTAACAACAGCGCAACCTGCAAATAGCACCATTTTTGCTTCGCTCCCAAGGATTACTGCTTATAACAATGTGCCTTTAAGTCACATTGAGCGTTGGGGGGAGGTGGAGAGAGAATGAAATCAAGGGCGCTGAAATCTGCCGAGCTAAACCGTAGTGCGGGCAAGGGTCTGGGGACGGTGGCTCACCCTAAAGTTTTGACTAATTCACATTTATATAACTCTTTTATTTTTAATTATTACTAAATAGTAACGTTTCTTTGTAGTATTTAAAAACATAAAAAAAGCTTTTATAAAAACAAGTCTTTATTAATGATATCGTATACTACATATTCCAACGACGTAGTATAGCACTCAGCAAACTTTTTCTTCACGTGCTTCGCACCCAAGTGTCATAAGAAGGCACTTGGCGTCACATAGACGAGTGCCTTAGCTGGCAATGCCATACCTAGATAATGGACACTGCTCACCTTCCAAATGACAAAGTGATTTTTTCACGGCCAGTGCTTCGATCGAATCGTGCATGAGCTCTTAGTTTTAATTTATTAAAAAAATTGGTTTCAGCGTCATTTATCTTTTATGGGCATATTGTATGGACATATTGTATGGGCATATTGAATGGACATATTGTATGGGCATAGTGTATGGACATATTGTATGGACATATTGTATGGGCATAGTGTATGGACATATTGTATGGACATATTGTATGGGCATATTGAATTGACATATTGTATGGGCATATTGAATGGACATATTGTATGGGCATATTGAATAGACATATTGTATGGGCATATTGAATTGACATATTGTATGGGCATATTGAATTGACATATTGTATGGGCATATTGAATGGACATATTGTATGGGCATATTGAATGGAAATATTGTATGGGCATATTGAATTGACATATTGTATGGGCATATTGAATTGACATATTGTATGGGCATATTGAATTGACATATTGTATGGGCATATTGAATGGACATATTGTATGGGCATAGTGTATGGACATATTGTATGGACATATTGTATGGGCATATTGAATTGACATATTGAATGGACATATTAAATGGACCTATTGTATGGACATATTGTATGAGCATATTGTATGGACATATTGTATGGGCATATTGTATGGGCATATTGTATGGGCATATTGAATGTACATATTGAATGGACATATTGAATGGACATATTGTATGGGCATATTGAATGGACATATTGAATAGACATATTGTATAGAAATATTGTATGGGCATATTGTATGGACATATTGTATGGTTACATTGAATGGACATATTTTATGGGCATATTGTATGGGCATATTGTATGGGCATATTGTATGGACATATTGAATAGACATATTGTATGGACATTTGAATAGACATATTGTATGGACATTTGTATGGACATATTGTATGGATATATTGTATGGGCATATTGAATGGACATATTTTATGTACATATTGTATTGGCATATTGAATGGCCATATTGTATGAACATATTATATGCACATATTGTATGGATCTATTGAATTGACATATTGTATGGATATATTGTATAGACATATGCTATTGGCCTATTGTTTGGATCTATGATATGGACCTATTGTATGGGCCTATTTATGGACATATTGTATGGACATATCGTTTGGGGATATATTGTATGAACTTATTTTATAGGCATATTGTATGGAAATATTGTATGAACATATTATAAATAAACCGATTTCATTTTTATTCTTTAACGTACACCAAATCGAAATGATCACGAATTAAGTCATTATTCAAGTCATTATTGTCTCCAAAATTGTTCCATGATGGCCGATTTCTATGCCAGAGAAAGACTTTAGAAGACTTTGGTTTAAACTAATTATACTTTTAAAATGTTGTCTTGATTTAAAAATATGAATTTATTTATGAACTGGAAATGAGTATGTACAATTTAATCAAAAACATTTCCATTTATTTTGATCAATAATCTTATCTCATCCTTACACATAGAAGTAAGTATTCAAGCAGACAAGGAAATAATATCAAAAACCCATTGTATCCAAAACTTTATTACGTAATTCATGCTTTTATCGTATAACTCAGAACGACTTGATACTCTCCAATAAAAGGAAATTAACTTGTAAAATAGAAATATCGAATGACTTTTTGTTCCAACCTAATATCAATAATATAATTATTTCACAACACACCAGACGACTACTTGTTTGTCGGATACTCTTAACAACTGAGCACACATTTGTACGACACTGTGAAATGCTTTCAAACAATCCATACTAGGGCTTAAGCGGGGGCAGTTGTTGTTTTTTTTACACCGGTGGGTCCAAGTGGTGGGTCCAAGTGGTGGGTCCAATTGGTGGGTCCAAGTGGTGGTCCAAGTGGTGGGTACAATTGGTGGGTCCAAGTGGTGGGTCCAAGTGGTGGGTCCAAGTGGTGGGTCCAAGTGGTGGGTCCAAGTGGTGGGTCCAAGTGGTGGGTCCAAGTGGTGGGTCCAAGTGGTGGGTACAAGTGGTGGGTCCAAGTGGTGTGTCCAAATGTTACACAAAAAAAAAAACTACTTAGCTTCTCATTTTCTTTAAACATTAATCATACAGACAGCCCTACAGACACTGCTGGATTCTTCTCATGGTACTTTGTTGATTAAAATAACAGTCGCCTTAAAAAAAATTCTGTCTTCTTACCTGAATTTAATCTCCAAGTATGGCTCTTGCTGCTTGATGACAACCCCCCCCCCCCAACCAAAAAAAAACCAAGCAAAAACAACCCCTAAGTATCATTGATATAAAACTTGCTGAGAAGGGGAAGGGCCTGAGTCTTCCGATCTCTGAATTTAATCTCCAAGTATGGCTCTTGCTGCTTGATGACAACCACCCCCCCCAACCAAAAAAAAACCAAGCAAAAACAACCCCTAAGTATCATTGATATAAAACTTGCTGAGAAGGGGAAGGGCCTGTTGTGAAAAGGAAGCTGCCACACCACAAGAAAAAAAATGTATACAAGAGATTATAAATGTAATAGCATATTGTGAGCATCTTATAATTAGTTTTATACAAGACTATTCTGTCCAGGCTGTGACACGTCATTGACATAGTGGTCAGGAAATGGGGCTACGAGCTGTCAGCTTGAAATCCGTTGAAGATGTTTTTGTTGTTTTATCCATGGTGGTAGATGACATCAGTGCCGATGACAACGACTCCCTGTGTCATGTGATATGTAAAAAAAAAAAAAACCAAGTTAAGTCGTTAAAGAAGTGGTTCTCAATTTTTCTTGGTCCCACTCCTCACCAGAGCACTTGCAAATATTTATCCTCCTCCCCCCTCCCCACATACACAATTTGTCTAAGCCTGTTGTGGAAGTTCTTTAAGAAAAAAAAAAAAAGACTAAAGAGGTCTCCAACGGAAAGTTTGTAATTAAAATGTGCAGCCATTTTAGGCCACAATATTCAACGTTGTCGGATAAAACTGAAAACTTACAAGAAGGCATTGTGGGATATGCAGTTTTTAAAACTGTTATGAACGATAAACAAAAGCGGTGGTTAACATTAAGAACTGTCCTGTCTAACAGTATCCCCACAACTTAAAAAAAAATATGTAAATACACATCCCATCTCAGATACTTATTCACACCCCCTCAAAACCTTTCCACAATTTATAAATATATATGTATATATATATATATATATATATATATATATATATATATATATATATATATATATATAAAATAAGACCCCCCCCCCCTTTTTTTGTTCCGAGCCGCCATGTTGTGAAACACTGAGTGAACGAGAGAGTGCTACGGTTTAAAGTTTCACTAGTTCCGGTTTTAGGCACTTACAAAACTCAGGACAAACCTTCTAAATATTTGTGCATTACGCCCAGCAAACCCTTTACTTAAGGTTGTATAATTATATACTATGATATTTTGTAGGAAATCTGATCATAGAAAACTTATTATCAAAAGATTAGTGAGTAAATCCTGTAGTGCTATGAAATATAAACATTGCAGTGCTATGAAATATAAACCTTGTAGTGCTATGAAGAATAAATATTGTAGTGCTATGAAATATAAACCTTGTAGTGCTATGGAAGATAGCAAGGCCATGGACGATGTTATTTAATTTTAAATAAAAACAACATAATCCATAAGAAGTCGTGTCACATTTAGGTAATGTATATGAGAGAGGTTCCCAAACTGTTTTGAACCACGGCGCCCTTGCAATATCCAGTTTTTCCCCAAAGGCGCCCATGTTAAATTCTAATACGTATACTGCAAAATTTTGATATTTTTATTTCCACTCTCATTATTTAGTCAAAGAAAAACCCGATCATTTTTTTTTAAATCGAAGGGGTAATAAGGGTTCCACACTTCTATTGCTGCCCACAGATACTACTTACCAGCTAAGTGCTATTTCTTATTTTTATTTTTTTAACCGTTTTTTCTGTTGTTTTGTTCGCTGACGAAGGCTTTCTGCCGACACGTTCGCTGTTTTGTTGCGTTAATTTTTCAGGTTTAACCCTATTCTGTTTTACTCATTTTATTTTTTAAATCGAAAGAGGAAAACTCGTCAATAACTCTAATTGACTTTATTACACAAATATTGAGTTGTTATCATCTCAAAAAACCGAATTTATGCAATAACCGCATACAAATCACTTCTATTTATATGCGAACACTAAGTTACTAAATAAGTTCAAGGAAACTTTAAACAATGGTTAAACTTAGTTGACAGACAGCCTCTACAAACATAATTTTTAATAGGCGAGTTGCTGATTGGCACCAAGTCGGCTGGACGTCGTGAGATATTACATTACTAAGGTTTACCCGGTTGCAGTTTTTTTACACCGGGTCCGGGTATTTTGAGAACATACTCGGTGGGTTCAAGAGTTAGCCAAATTTTTAACTTTTCATTTTCTATAATATATGCCAGCCTTGGAAGACTATTCATGTGACAGTCCTACGCCGTACCTGCAGGCCTTTAAAAAATATCCTACAGACAGTTTTACACCATACCCGTAACTCTTTATTGATTTATATAAGAGTCAACTCCCTTTAAAGAAAAAAATGCAACCTTTTTACAGGAGTTCACACGTCACGCATGACAGCTAGCCATGTGACAGCCTTTTTTTCAATCAGTAATATCAATATAAAACAAGTGCAGTGGGGGGGGGGTGATTGTGAAAGGAAGCAGGACACACCAGAAGCAACATTAATATAAGAGATTAAAATTAATGTTTTAACCTCACAAGCGTCTTTTGGTGGAGCCGCCGTTCACATTCTGGGAACCTCTGAGTTTATGTTATATTAAACTGGCCACTGTCTGTGGTTGCACGTGACATGAAATGAGTGTTTGGCTCAATGTTACAACTTTTAAACCTCTTAAAAGTATGTTGCGGATTTTTTTGTTACACTTGAGTCATGACTAATTTAAACGTAATATAGCATTGAAATAAGCACTGTCAGAACTTACATTGGACAGGGTCAGTACCGAGTTCTGGAACAAGACTTCACTGACCAGAGGTATCTCCAGGCCTTCACTGCCCAACTCTGATGACGTCCAATGGTCCACCGATGAGAGTTTAGCGTAGAAGAAGACGTTAGTGTGATGGAAATTGTAAGGGTTTATTCTTAAATTTGTTTTCCCCAACTTTCGTTAAAATGTTTTACACAAATTATTGACACGAATCTGAATTTAGAATTCAACTTTTAAGCTAGAATTTTATGATATAGAAATACCATTTTACGACAAAATGGCGACATTCATAAGCTTACCGTTCAGGTAGGTGATAACGAATTGATTGACGGTGACTTCCAACATTTGTTGAATTTGGTCTACCTAAAGGTGAAACAGAAATGCAACATGGAAATTGTTGAGGACAAGAAAAGTCATAACCTATAAGGAATGTCATTCAGTGGCGGATTGCTTTTAATATAACTGCTGTCATCATCCGGGTACTCGGGTTGGACAAAATGTCATCACTTTTCAGTACTACTCTGTTAGCGAAGAGACCATTAACTTAAATCTAAACTTTGTTTACAAAATATTTCACACAATTTTGTTTTTACTTCTATTGCTATATTCAAGGATATATCTTTTGTGCAATCGGACATCATTGTGCGTACGGCACATGTAACAGTGACTCTAGATACACGGATCGTCCGAACGATATGCTGAACCACACTAGTAGCTGCCGTGTTTTAAGAAATAGTTGTCCGACGTCCTAAAAATAGTAACGCTATGACGTTTTCCGGTCCGAGAAATTACAAACCCTATGGGCTACGTTCAATTTTTTTTGTAAAACAGAGTAGCTCGCCCGTGGTTGCCGCCTACTTTTAATCACGTTGGGTTGATTCCAAAATCATGTTTGTTGTTTATAAACTCGATTCCAGTAAGTTAAGAAGGGTTAACAGACCCAATGATAGAGTTTTAAAAATAAAATTTATACTTTTACTCTGAATAATTTATTTCCTCTTCATTCAAGGTGACGTCATCCGATCCATGTTTACTCAGCCAAACCATGACAACAACAACACATGATATGAAAGCGGAAACGATCTTCACCAACCCTATGTACTCTTAATAAAAAGTTTTTTCGTTCATGAATGGACCCAATAAGGAGAGTCAAGCTTGCACATTTCTGAGGTGTGTATGCATGCGTGCGTGTGTGTATGCTTGTGAGTGAGTGAGTGAGTGGATAGGGTTTTCCAGACAGTTTCAAAGACTTAAGTGTACACCCGGAAATGAAACACATCACGACAAGCCAACCAGTAGGGTAACTTAAGGCCCATGTGTGAATCAAACGAAGTGGCGTAGCAAGGGTTATTGCCGCCCCTTTGTTTACGCTGTCCGTTTCGACGAAAATTCTGCACCCCCCCCCATATAATAAATAAAAAAAGTTTTGTCCGGGGTCGATCGCCCCCCCCCCCCTTTGCACCGCCTTTCCCATACCACCGATCGGGTGGGGATAGCAAGGGTTATTGCCGCCCCTTTGTTTACGCTGTCCGTTTCGACGAAAATTCTGCACCCCCCCCCCATATAATAAATAAAAAAAGTTTTGTCCGGGGTCGATCGCCCCCCCCCCTTTGCACCGCCTTTCCCATACCACCGATCGGGTGGGGCAATGACTCATTGTAAGTTCAAGATTTAGTCGAAATAATGGTCGTTCACTTCATTTATGAAAAAGAAACACGTTTAAATGAATTCTTTTCAATTTATAAAATATCAAAATTAAATTTCGGTTAAATTGAATTTTTTTTTGCGTATGTTAATTATTCCGGTTATCACATATTTTAAGCATCTCAGTATGTGTACTCGTCACTCAGTCTGTTTATCAGGGGCGTCATTTCATTTTTTTCAGGGGGGTGGGGGCAAAACCAAAACTTGGTCGGCTTGTTACGTTGCTTATTACTGGAGGCGCCACTCTACCCAGACGAAGTCCCTGGTGTTAACTCATCCAAAGCATCCCAAACGTAACCTTCTTAAATTTTCCCCAAGTACTTACATCTATTGTCCCAACTTCTGATTTGACAAGGGAGACAGAGAAGCTGTGAATAAAGTCATATATTAATATTAATAAAAATGTTTTATAAGGAATACCATGTAAGTCATAAATCACCAAATATTGTAGATCGAAAGCTATGTAAGCCACAAAGCATCGTCACATAGTTTTAATCAAGAAATATCAAATGTTGTATGTGTATGTAAATGTATAATTAACAATATCTCGACATTCCCCGATTTTTTAGATTAATTTGGTATTTCTACAATAACTCTCTGCAGTCTGACGTTTTTTTCACATTTCTTAAAAATCTTAATGTGATTTTTTAAAATAATTAATTAACTGATCTGAAATAGCTCTGATCTGATCAGTTAAATATATTAACTTGTTCATCTTTGACTCAGCTATCATAAGATATTTTTTGTATATTTTATTTTCTTAGTTATAAAAATAATTGAAACATTATTGGAGAATTATTTTTTTTCATTTTATGCTAAAATTTGACCAAATCTTTACACAGTATGAAGGAAAAAAAAAATCCTTGTTATAAAAGATTTAAAATTTATTTAAATAAAATACTTCATCAACTTATACAATTCATAGTCAAACATGACAAAAATTCTATGAACAATCAAAAAGTTGTCAACATTTTAGCAAAACCTATATTTTGTCTTTTTTTCCTAAAAAATGCACTATAATTTTTCTTTTAATGAAAATTATGTTTTGTATGTAATATATTTAAAAAAATGGGTCTCATAGCTTATAGATTTGTATATTAAATATATTTCTTAATAATTCTTGAGTAAAAGATGACTAAGTAAAATTTGATGAATATATAAATAACTCAAAACAAGAGTCAATTTTTTTTTTAATAATTTTAAAATAGCGGTATTCGCTGATGTTAAAGTTAAAAAAAATTAAAATGTATCAGTACAATAATGCTAATTTTGATATACATGTCAAATACAATCCATTCCTCACTAATGTGATCTATTTTTTCCCATGTACCGGCATTTTTATATATCTTTGTTATAATCCTCACATAACACAGGCTGATAAACTACAGTATTCCTTAATTATATTTATGGACTCTGAACAAATATTATTTCTTAAAACAGTCTGCAGTTTTATTATAATAATTATATTTGATAAATAAGAGCTTGTCCTGGACTTGATTTCTACATAAGATTAGGTAAGATTTTTCACCACAGAATATTCACTCAATAAAGAACCTGTGGAAAAAAAAAAATTGATTGATTCATAAATAAATTAACACTAATGGTATCAGTAATGGTATGCTATCAGTAAGGGAAAATACCATTAATCCTAGTCCAAGTGCCTAAATTAGTATAAAAGTAAACCATTGTACATAGAAAATACATTATAACATATGTTATAACAATATTGTGAGTTTATTCTTTATGCATTTTGCTACCAAGTGATTAGATTAAAACTTACCACCACTTGTTTTTAGGGTAAAATCTTCAAAGATATTCATCCAGTAACTCTGTAACTCAGTAAAAGGGTGGAGTCCAGGCTTAATATTTAGGATCAATAAGGAATAAGGGCTTCTTGATCCAATATCTGCATTTTTGTCTCTCTCTCCTCCTTCCCAATAGAGTTAGAGAGCTTTTAATAAAAACATAAATGTTTTTTTTTTTATTCTGCCGACAGTAGTCTCTACTAATACTAGTGACTAGCGATAATGATAATTAAATTTAAACACATTTCTACTATGCAATATTAGAAAATTTAGAAGATTATTCTTGGCTGTAACATATTTTAAAGAAATATATTTAGTTAATAACTCAGAAGTCCTTAACTTTAAATTTATTTAATTACGCAAGTTCCAATCGACCGAAATTTTCCGCTATTTTTTAAAATATTTATTTCGCATAGCGACGCTATTTATTTATTATATAATTATTGAAACTCAATATAATTCAAATAGAATATATCAATGTAAGTATAAATGGATAATATATACTTCAGCCAATTAAAATTATAAAATTATCACTTTATTGTTTTATTATTAATTTTAAAGTCGGGAAATGATAATTAAAATTAAGCTTACTTGTTTACGATAGCATTAGTCGGTACTTTTATATGCAAATCGTGATAAATTTCATGATTAGAGTCTCCATTTGGATACATTGCTTTAGACAAACAAATAACTCCTTGATAAATCGGGAAATTAAAATCATTTGACAATATTCATACTACTATTTAATTTTTTTTGTGAGACTTATATTTTTTGTTTTTTTGGAAATCTGCGAAGCTTTCAAGGGATATTCCGCGCTGAATAAGTTTCAAAAAATATTTTTTTAAAATAGTAATTTCAAATTTTGTAATAATTTTAATTTTTTTACGAATACTTAAACCAATGAAACAAATTATTAAAATATAATAAATAATTTTTTTCAATAAAAAAAAAAGTTAAAAAATAAATAACCCACCCACAAAATCTATGGTACTTATATGTACCATTTCTCTATAGTCGGACTGCAGAGAGATAAACGACATTTTCCCATTCTTTAGAACAATTTGATATGGCAACAATAAACGACATTTTCCCGTTCATTTGATTAATTTGATTTGGCAACAATAAAAGACATTTTCCCATTCTTTAGATTAATTTGATTTTGCTACAATAAACGACATTTTCCCATTCTTTAGATTAATTTAATTTTGCTGCAATAAACGACATTTTCCCATTTTTTAGATTAATTTGATTTGGCAACAATTAACGACATCTTCCCATTCCTTAGATTAATTTGATTGGGCAACAATAAAAGACATGTTCCCATTCTTTAGATTAATTTGATTGGGCAACAATAAAATACATTTTCCCATTCTTTAGATTAATTTAATTTGCTACAATAAACGACATTTTCCCATTCTTTAGATTAATTTGAATTAGCAACAATAAAAGACATTTTAAAAAATGACGGAAAAGGTTGTTTAAGCAGAGCAAAATGTTGAGTGCTCCATAGGATCTTTGAATATGTAGGTTTTCTTTAGATCTGCCAGATTACAATCTACGGTAGTGATTTGGTCGGCAAACCAGGGTTAAAATTTAGTTGGGTAACGATGAACATTGGTGTGTGTGTGTGTGTGTGTGACGTATCAGCAGAATTAAATAAACTATAAAAAGTGCGATCTTAGTTACGAAATAAATGTTCGTTCTTAACAAATACCGGATCTGGTAATAGAGAAAAAAGCACCTTACATGTTGTGGTAAGTTGTACCTCCTCAGATAGATAACCGCACGTCTTGAATACGGCATTTTGGCGTAGTCACCGGTTTATTATCGTAAACTCATTGATATCAAGAGGTGCTTACGACGATTTGCACGGGACAATTTTTAAAATACTTTTGTTGTTGTTGTTGAAGCAAAGTTATCTTCGTAAAAATAAAAAAAAAGAACTTATAATTTTCCCTTGTACAAGTTTTTTTGACACAACCAGGCTCACGTGTTTACATTCACGGACAAGCCACTGTACACACTACCCCCACACTACCCCCCCCCCCTTAACCCTCCCGAGAAGACAAGACATACTCTCCAAACTCATACACTGAGAGTTCTATTTTTAGCAATTTATAAATCGTTCTATTCCAGGGATTCCTTACTTGTGGTTGGTGATGTTCCCTATTAACCTTTGGTTCCTCACAGACACATTTACCGTCAGGGTCAAGCTCTGAAATATAAACGTTGAAGTTTTTACAAATTTCAAATGTAAACACAAAATAGAAATATATGATTTTTTTTTTAGCTTAAATGATTACGATATGATTAAAATGTTTAGTCTAACTGAGTAAGATGGGATTAGAATGTTTAGCCTAAATGACTAAGATATAATTAAAATGATTAGCCTAAATGACTAACTTGGGATTAGAATGTTTAGTGTAAATGACTAACATATAATTAAAATGTTAAGCCTAAATGACTAAATTGGGATTAGAATGTTTAGTCTAAATGACTAAGATATAATTAAAATGTTTAGCCTAAATGACTAAATTGGGATTAGAATGTTTAGTCTAAATGACTAAGATATAATTAAAATGTTTAGCCTAAATGACTAAATTGGGATTAGAATGTTTAGTCTAAATGGCTAAGATATAATTAAAATGTTTAGCCTAAATTACTAAATTGGGATTAGAATGTTTAGTCTAAATGACTAAGATATAATTAAAATGTTTAGCCTAAATGACATAATTGGGATTAGAATTTTTAGTCTAAATGACTAAATTCGTTAAAATTTCTCACTATTTAAATTATCTGACCACATATGTTGGCCCCGAAACCAAACTCTGGTAATTTATGTAGGTTTTCTTCAACACGTCTTAAAATAATATACATCTATGTAATTATGTTTGGTCAGATATGGAACCAAAGACACACTATAGTGCTAGAGGGTCATCTTTATAATTGTAACTATTGCAAGAGTGAAAAAAAAAAAAAAAAAAAAAAAAATCTTAAAATGTGACACTCACCAAGCTCAAGGTTAGCAGATAGACTGCCGTGCCATCGGCTGTGTCGGCGTACAGATCCAAGTCACCAATCAAGTTGAGTGTTAAGCCATCGCTTGTGATCTTCACCTGAGGGGCTGTTGTGGCCATTATCCGAATCTCAACGTTAGAGTCACGATACGCTTGGCCTATCTGGATAACCCATAGAAAACACAAGATAAGCTTGGCCTATCTGGATAACCCATAGAAAATACAAGATAAGCTTGGCCTATCTGGATAACCCAGAGATAATACAAGATAAACTTGGCCTATCTGGATAACCCATAGAAAATACAAGATATGCTTGGCCTATCTGGATAAACCATAGCTAATACAAGATAAACTTGGCCTATCTGGATAATGCATAGAAAATACAAGATAAGCTAGGCCTATCTGGATATCCCACAGATAATATAAGATAAGCTTGGCCTATCTGGAAAACCCACAGATAATACAAGATAAGCTTGACCTATCTGGATAACCCATAGATAATACAAGATAAGCTTGACCTATCTGGATAAAAAAATTGATACAGCTTTTATGTTATAGTAACTAGAAATGACAAGTCAAAAATAAATTGAAAGTCGCGATTGTTTATGACCATGTTATGACTATGTTATGACTATGTTTTGACCATATTATGACCATGTTATGAATATATTATGAACATATTATGACCATGTTTTGACTATGTTATGACCATATTATGACAATGTTAAAACTATAATATGACCTTGTTAAAACTATAGTGTGACCATATTATGACTATATTATGACTATGTTATGACCATAAGCCGTAAGGCCAAGAGACCCCAAATGTCTGGCTTTGAAGAGGGACTGTTATGATTATGTTATAAACATGTTATGACTATATTATGACTATGTTATGACTAAATTATGACTATGTTATGAACATGTAATAACTATGTTATGACCATGTTATGACTATATTATGACTATGTTATGACTATGTTATGAACAAGTTATGACTATGTTATACATATGTTATGACTATGATATAACCATGTTATGACCATGTTATAACCATGTTATGACTATGTTATGACTATGTTATGACTATGTTATGACCATGTTATAACTATGTTATGACCATGTTATGACTATGTTAAGACTACATTATGACTATGTTATGAACAAGTTATGACTATGTTATGATTACGTAATGACTATGTTATGACCATATTATAACTATGTTATGACCATGTTATGACTATGTTATGACGATGTTATGACTATGTTATGACCATAAGATGACCATGTTATGACTATGTTATGACCATGTTATGACCATGTTATGACCATGTTATGACCTTGTTATAACCATGTTATGACCATGTTATGACCATGTAATGACCATATTATGACAACGTTATGACCATGTTATGACAATGTTATGACCATTTTATGACTATATTATGACTATGTTATGACTATGTTATGACTGTGTTATGACCATGTTATGAATATGTTAAGAATATATTATGACTATATTATGACCATGTTATGACTATGTTATGACTATGTTATGACTATGTTATAACTATTTTATGACCATGTTATGACCATATGATGACCATGTTATGACTATGTTATGAAAAAAGTTATGACTATGTTATGACCATGTTATGACCATGTTATGACCATGTTATGACCATGTTATGACCATGTTATGACCATGTTATGACCATGTTATGACCATGTTATGACCATGTTATGACCATGTTATGACCATGTTATGACCATGCTATGACCATATTATAACAATATTATTACCATGTTATGACAATGTTATGACCATATTATGACTATGTTATGACTATGTTATGACTATGTTATGACTATGTTATGACTATGTTTTGACCATGTTATGACCATATGATGACCATGTTATGACTATGTTATGAACAAGTTATGACTATGTTATGACTATGTTATTACCATGTTATGACTATGTTATGACTATGTTATGACTGTGTTATGACCATGTTATGAATATGTTATGATTTTATTATGACTATATTATGACCATGTTATGAATATGTTATGACTATATTACTACTATGTTATGACTATGTTTTGACCATTTTATGACTATGTTATGACTATGTTATGACCACGTTATGACCATATGATGACCATGTTATGACCATGTTATGACTATGTTATGAGTGTGTTATGACCATGTTATGAATATGTTATGACTATATTATGACCATGTAATGACTATGTTATGACTATGTTATGACTATGTTATGAACAAGTTATGACCATGTTATGGAAATGTTATAACTATGTTTCCAATGTTCAGGCACAATCTTTATTTTGCACTTGATTAGAAGCTCTTTGAATTATTTTTTTAAATAAAAGTAACTATACTTACTATGATTCATTGTTTCTTACCACCATCTTCTCTTTTTTTAAATACGTGTAAATAAAATTTCAAATTTAATGCGGAGTTAAAAATCAATATATTCGTTTGTCAACTTCCTATATTGAGCTTATGCAATAAAATTTACGCCAATAATGTCACTAGATTTTTGAAAATGTTTATATTATTGTTAATCTTTACCACACATTTCTGTCTAAAGCTATGAGATAACAAAAAAAGATTCTGTCGTGAATACATTAAAATAACGCATTTAAATATCAAAGAGTTAACCGTGGTTTTCCTGACCTGGGGTATGAGTGAGCCAATGCAGGGACCAGGGTCACAGGTCGTGTCCAAGAGAGAGCTGTAATCAGGAAATAACTGTTGAGTAGACAAAAAATCTAAGTAAATAAGAGCCACAAGGCATCTGCTTGGAAATAATTGCGGTATTAAGGTAATCAAGCGAGACCCAGAGAACTAGAGACACAGAGACTTAGAGAACCAGAGACTCAGAGACTCAGAGAAACAGAGACTCAGAGAAACAGAGACCAAGAGACTAAGAGACCCACAGACAAAGAGAACGAGGCAACGAGAAAAGCAGAGACTCAGAGACCTAGAGATCCAGAGACATGGTGATCCAGAGACATAGAGATCCAGAGACATATAGATCCAGAGACATAGAAATCCAGAGAACAAGAGCCTTAGAGACCAGGAGATCCAGAGACCCATAGACACAGAGAATGAGAGAACGAGAAAAGCAGAGACTCATAGACATAGAGATCCAGAGAGCCAGAGACCCAGATACCTAGAGATCCATATACCAGAGACTCAGAGATTCAGAGACCCAGAGACTCAGAGACCCAGAGACTCAGAGACCCAGAGACTGCAAGATTTGCAGGTAGCTGTGTGTTGTCTTTGAACAACTTCTTTGGGGTGTTCTGGCCATGTTCACATTACACTTGGAAAATCTGTGCCATTATGCGTCCTTAAATGATCGATGAGATCGAATGGGATCGTGTTAAACTCTTATTAGAATATCCAACCACATCGGACTACACATTTCATCTGCAACAATCATGGCCCCTTCATCTGCAACAATCATGGTACCATCATCTGCAACAATCATGGAACCATCATCTGTAACGATCATGGCACCATCATCTGCAACAATCATGGTACCATCATTTGCAATAATCATGCTCCCATCATCTGCAACAATCAAACTCCCATCATCTGCAACAATCATGTCCCCATCATTTGCAACAATCATGGTCCCATCATCTGCAGCAATCATGGTCCCATCATCTGAAGCAATCATGGTTCCAATCATCTGCAGGAATCACGGTGCCGGCATCTGCTACAATCGTGCTCCAAATAAAACGTTACACTATAACAGATTGACAGAAATGTGACGTAAGTTTTACATCCATGTGGGTCAGGTGGTACTTGAAGTGGCCACGCCTGAACGTCGCGTAGAGGAGTGTGTTGGCCGAATACTCGGTCAGCCAAAGATACAGCATCCTGCTGTTGTCCGTCCATTCCGAGATTGGCGCCGGTGGGGGCAGGATCTCCCGCTGTTCCTCTCGCCAGTAAACTTCACCCTGTTAGAATAGAGAGGAAAAATGCAGAGTTCATTTGAAATCAAGTATGCATTGGTATACATCCAAATACAAGTATACATTGGTATACATCCAAAAACAAGTAGTTATTGGTATACATCGAAATTCAAGTATACATTGGTATACATCCAAATAGAAGTAGGCATGTGTAATGGAATCGAAATGACAGAAAAAAAATATTTCGTGATTTTTCAATGCAATTTAAAACAGTTAAATTGACCTCTAACAGTCTTTACTTAATAGGCTGCAAGAACTACAATCACTTCCATTTATAAAAACAATTAACTTCATCCCTAGCAAAGATATAATAATAATCATTATTCTCGATTTGTCTACTAACCCACCTCAAATGTCTTATGTCAGGTTTATTAAATGTACACGCTTTTACATTGGTGTTTTCAAGCATTTGCATAGTCCTATGTCACTGAGTTCACAATGCATAGTTCTATGTCACTGAGTTCACAATGCATAGTCCTATGTCACTGAGTTCACAATGCATAGTTCTATGTCACTGAGTTCACAATGCATAGTCCTATGTCACTGAGTTCACAATGCATAGTTCTATGTCACTGAGTTCACAATGCATAGTTCTATGTCACTGAGTTCACAATGCATAGTCCTATGTCACTGAGTTCACAATGCATAGTCCTATGTCACTGAGTTCACAATGCATAGTTCTATGTCACTGAGTTCACAATGCATAGTCCTATGTCACTGAGTTCACAATGCATAGTTCTATGTCACTGAGTTCACAATGCATAGTTCTATGTCACTGAGTTCACAATGCATAGTCCTATGTCACTGAGTTCACAATGCATAGTTCTATGTCACTGAGTTCACAATGCATAGTCCTATGTCACTGAGTTCACAATGCATAGTTCTATGTCACTGAGTTCACAATGCATAGTCCTATGTCACTGAGTTCACAATGCATAGTTCTATGTCACTGAGTTCACAATGCATAGTTCTATGTCACTGAGTTCACAATGCATAGTCCTATGTCACTGAGTTCACAATGCATAGTCCTATGTCACTGAGTTCATAAGGCATAGTTCTATGTCACTGAGTTCACAATGCATAGTTCTATGTCACTGAGTTCACATTGCATAGTTCTATGTCACTGAGTTCACAATGCATAGTTCTATGTCACTGAGTTCACAATGCATTGTCCTATGTCACTGAGTTCACATTGCATAGTTCTATGTCACTGAGTTCACAATGCATAGTTCTATGTCACTGAGTTCCCAATGCATAGTCCTATGTCACTGAGTTCACAATGCATAGTCCTATTTGACTGAGTTCACAATGCTTAGTTCTATGTCACTGGGTTCACAATGCATAGTTCTATGTCACTGAGTTCACTCATGATTAAAAGGAAAAAAAAAGAATTACTCTCAGGGCTCACATGATAATACAAAATCGAGCCATGATACAGCAAAACAATATAACGTGATCTTACCGTGGCAATATCACGTGATGTGAGCGTGACACCATCCAACACAAATTGGAATTACATGACCTAAACAGGATTTATTTGAAGCCTGGGACTAGCCTATTAATTATCCAATTCTTTATCCCAAGCATTTTTTCATTTATTATCCCATTTCCCATCGCATTCATTATCAAGTTTATTATCCCATTCATAATCCAATCTATCATCCCAATCATTACTCCATTCATTATCCCTAGATGCCCTCTGAGTAAGTACGCTCTTTGCTTTACCTTGTGTTGACTTTCCATGTAGTCAGGTGCGAATGTGACCGGTGCTAGCAGGCGAAAGTCCACAACCAAAGTGTCGTCAATTTCGAACGTCACTTCAAGTGGGATCAGAAAAAAAAAAAATGAAACGACAGAATATTAAGGCAAACAATTAAAATTATAAGAATAAGGATGACCACCGTAAAATGAGTCAGCCTGTCAAATGAGACCGTCGTGAAACGAGTCAGCCTGTCAAATGAGACCATCGTGAAATGAGTCAGTCTGTCAGATGATACCGCCTTGAAATAGGTCATCCTTTCAGATGTATCCGTCGTGAAATGAGTCAGCCTGTCATATGAGACCATGGTGAAATGAGTCAGCCTGTCAGATGATACCGTCGTGACATGAGTCAGCCTGTCTATAGCGCTAGACCACACTGTTATTGACACAATAAATAAATTGATAATCTTTCGAGATCAGACCCCTATAAAATGGTATAACACAGAAAAGGCGTCCTGCAGTCTGTGATGTCATGTTTGGTTATTAGGACTTCATATTAATTCAGTCTGTGATGTGATGTTTGGTTATTAGGACTTCATATTAATGCAGTCTGTGATGTGATGTTTGGTTATTAGGACTACTTATTAATGGGGACAATTATTTAAAACATCTTTTTTTTTGTACCAAGAAATCATTATTGCAATTTTTTTTTACATTTTAATCCAACAACTCACCTTCTTTCTCTCTCAAATTTTCCTGGACAGCCTGATCGATCAAATAAGTCAGGAGTTCACACACCTGTATGAAAAGGGACACAATTAAATGCTTCAACATTCGCTTCTTGCATTACAATTAAAACCTTCCCCCCCCCCCTCCATTTACAAGACCGTTGGTCATTCACAGGTAAGTAATTAATTGTTATTGACTTACAATTTCTATACACATTCAATAAAAAAAATATATATTAAAATAGTGAGCAGGTGACCCCCAACCTTCTACAACTCAATGTTGACAACATAATTTCAGAGATTGTAGAATACATATAGGCTACATTTCTAGCGGTGATGGAAGGCTATATATTTGAAGAATGACAGCAAATTAATTCAGACTTTTGGAACCATATTACTGCATGGAATCAATCCAATCTTCTCTTAGAAGTAGTCCTCACTTTCTCTCCATTTCTATTCTCATTTTTTGGTAGTTTAATAATATTAACTTTCCATTAATAATACTTAAATTATTCTACCTTCACGGTACACGCCACAGAATTATGTGAAAGTTACATTTTGGTTTTGTACAGCTTAACTTCCGTTTTTATAGTTATAGCGCGTCTTCGTTTCTACACAAAGATCTGTGTTGGGTATCCATACCTGTACACCAATACATATTGCTTATCACTACCTGTACGCCAAGACATATTGCTTATCCATACCTGTATACTAAAACGTATTGCTTATCAATACATGTGCACTAAGACAAAATGTGTATCGATACCTGTACAATAAGACGTACCTGATCATTGATCAGCTGCTTAACTTTTTTTTCCACGATTCCCTTGAAAATATTCAACACAAAGGCGATGGATCCGTGGAATTTAGTCTGAATGCTCCCGATGGACGAGCTACAGCTTTTAATGGAGATGGAGGGACGCCTCTGTGAATCTGCCTCTGAACAGAACAGATTAGAACACGTCAGTTCTACCACGGTAATTTGGGAGCATATGAATGGAGGGAATAATCAAATAAGCACTACTGTTTGCAAGATATTGCTGGTAACAGATTATTCTTTGACTATTTTTTAATTTTTTATTGTCTTTGTCGTTTTCAAAGATACTAGTTTTAACCTGCCAGCCAATGGCAGAGTCAATGCGTGAACTTCCCAACTACTGAAGTTACTTGACAAGACATGCACTTTAAACGAATCCCAATGAGTGCTGAAACCCCTACCCCCACCCAATAGGTAACTGCACTATTTTTTTTCCAGGCCCCTGAACTATATTAATATTCTGGTGCCTAATAGCCTTTTACACCGCACATTACATATAAAGAATGTGTTGTCTATGTGCCAAGTTTCAATTCGATAGGATGACGGGAAGTGGGTCAATCAGCCACCCGAAGAGATTGTACCTTAAACACACGAAAAAAAAGCGAAGTTACTATAAAGGATTGTAAAATGCCAAATGTGTATATGTGTGCCTGCATGTATCAAATTTGAATGTCTTTTGACATTTACTTTGTTAAAGATGAAGTCTATTTCCTAAGGTATGAAATATCTTTTCCCTAAAGAGTTCGATAACTATTAACGAGTAAGGATTGACGATGAAAATAATTAAATTTGCTCAAAAAATGGAAATGTTTTGTCGTTGCTCGGTGATCTATTTAATAGTTGATGACCTCCTGACCTATTTAATGGTTGATGACCTCCTGACCTATTTAATGGTCGATGACCTCCTGGCCTATTTAATGGTTGATGACCTCCTGGCCTATTTATTGGTTGATGACCTCCTGATCCAATTAATGGTTCATGACCTCCTGACCTATTTAATGGTTGATTACCTCCTGACCTATTTCATGGTTGATGACCTCCTGGCCTATTTAATGGTTGATGACCTATTGACCTATTCAATGGTTGGTGACCTCCAGATCTATTTAATGGTTGATGACCTATTGACCTTACCTAATCCAGCTGTGATAGAAACACTGAATCGCTTGACACCCACATCAACGCTGCCACTGTCGGAGCCCTTCAGCCTGGTGACAAGAGTGTACGCGCGGTCAAAACAGGCAGTTCTATTAAACAACACTTACAGAATACCAAGAATATAGAACACGCTTAGAGTTTTATCAAACACATCGGAACTGTGATTTTTTCCCCTTCTTCTGAAGGAGCTTTACCTTTTTAATATTTTCATTATTATTATTGTTATTTTATTGTTATTATTATTTAATTATATATATATATATATATATACTTATACATATTTTTAAAAAAAAGATGTTGAGTCGTACCAGGATTAGAGTTACTCTTTCCCGGAAGGACTAAATTCAGGACCGTACCTTTGTTTTGGTTGGTTTAGATATCGGTCATTTATATGTGTCAAAAGGGGGGGTTGGAGGTGGGTAAGGGTTGGTGGAATCCTCTTAAGGTTAACTAACTCCCCCAGCTTCCCTCTCCCCGCCGCCAAAAGTCTCATTCGCTCTGATCCCTGCACTGCCAGCAGAATGTTATGGACGTTTGGTGCCATTGGCTGGAAGCTCTAAGAATGGGTCGAAATAGGGTCGTGTGGACCCGTGTACCACAGATTTACTTAGCATCAATGAAAGCAGAAAGAATTTAGTTAAAATATCACTGACCAGCCTTTCTTATAGCTCAACCACCAGTTTGTTGAAAGGTCAAGGCCGAAATTCGATAAGGCCCAGGTTAGTCCACCCTTGACGGGGTCAAAGGTCATACTACTCTTGGGTAGGCTCAAACCTGTTCTTTGGATGCTGTTAAATTTAAAATTTAAAAAGAAAAAAAAATGACAAGACAAAAATAATGTGCACAGAATACAAGGAACAATTAATTCAAAATGCTTTTTTTTAAAGTCTTTTTTATCTGTGGGTTTTACTCTGTTTTTTTTTTTTTTTTTTTTAAATTTAAAATTAAATTTAATTTGTTCATAAAAATAGATTCCCATCACATTACTCTATATCACCAAAAAACCTTCAATGTAGTGGTAAATACAGTCATTACTTTGATGTCTACCGCAGACGGATGTTTATCTCATTCTCATGCCAACAACGCGTGTCATGAAAATGTGCAGGCAGCGCCAGAAGAACACTGCAGTGACACGGTGAGCCGCCACTTTTCTACGCCAGTCTAACACGACAGCGACAACAGCAACAGACGTTCAACAGCAACCACTGCACACTTTAAACAGCAACGAATACACACAAACTCGTCTTTCATTTTTTTATCAGCTATTTCAGTGCTTGGTCAATTGAGTGGCTTAATGTAATTTTCTTGGCATCACTAGTGCGCCAAGCTGTAATAATGCTTGACAAATATTTGTTCTCACTAGTGAACCTAGCCGTCTAATGCCTGAAAAATACATGGCATTACTAGAGCATCGAGCTGTCTAATGCTTGACAAATATTAGCTTTAAAGTAACTTAAATCTAAATACTCCACAGAGGTGCACACCATTTCTAGGGCACCCTTACTTTGTTAGACTCCAGGACATTGATCCTTTGACACCCGACTGATCCGGTAGGTCGAGCTTTTGTAGCTGTGTGTCAATCGCTGTCTGTGCTATGTCGTTAACTGAAAATGTTTTTAAAAGAAGACGCTAACTGGAAAATTCGCTTTTAATTAATTTTCGCATTTAATTTTCAGGGTGACGTTAATTTAAGTGAAATTTGTCAAGAGATAAATCAGTATAGTATACAAATGGAACGTCCATTTCTTGTTTTAAAATAGCGGCATAGAATATGAATGATTCTATTAACTGTGATAACTCAGCACAATCATCGCCTTACCATAGTCCACGCCCTTTTTCGTTAGCCTCATTTTGAATCCAGGATTGACAGAGTTGACTGCTCCTACCAACGTCAAGACCATCAGGATGAATGCTAATTGCCTCATTTCTTAATTAGTCTGAGGATAAAAAAAAATTGTAACAAAAAAAATTACTTCATGGCAGTTTGATAAATAAATGGAAAACAGTATGAAATGCACGACTATTTGGACTAAATGAAAACACAATCATGTGTACATCAATGACAATATGCCTTGACAGTACAACCGTGTGTACATCAATGATAATATGCCTTGACAGTACAACCGTGTGTACATCAATGACAATATGACTGGAAAACACAACAATGCGTACATCAATGACAATAAGCCTTGACAACACAATCATTTTCAGTAACATCCTCAATCCTTTTGTTATCGTGTGCAATAATGACAGATGGTCTGGATGGGATAGAGTCCCCGTTGCTTTCTTTAAATATATGTAAATAAAATTACAAATATTAATATAGGCTTCTCTGTGAATTGATGTATCTAGACCAGGCAGGAGTGCACAACTCAAAATGTAAGGCGGGCCGTAATACTTTATGAAAGACTTGAGCGGGCCGAAAGAAAATAGGACGGGGAGAAAGCTATTAATAACAAAATGATAAAGAATAGTTCGTTACTTCACGGGCCTCAACATGGAGCTGGCGGGCCGCATTCGGCCCGCGGGCCATATGTTGTGCAGGCCTGAGCTAGACCAGTGGTTCATAAATTATCTCTAGCACACCACGCCTTACCCTTTTATAAATATTATTCAGGACAATATTCTTTATGATCCTTAAGGAAGATATCACGATAAAATGTAAGAGAGCAACATATGAAGGAACTTTTAATTAATGTTAATTTAAAAGCAATAATAATGAATTCAGCATTAAACGGGAAACAGGACCATCCCAGCTTTGAAAATAACGCCATCTATTAGGCATATCATTTTTTGCACATTAAATTAAGTTATGATAACAAACTAAAAATAAAATGAATCAGTCAATCTGAAAATACTACGAGCTCTGGGAACCACTGATCCAGGCCAAACTCAAACTAGATGCCCCTTTGCCTTGGTAATTGGTGGTTTTTAAAGTAATCATAAAATACGGGTGGGGTAGGTTGCATCAGTTTAAGAAACTAATGTTAATTACTAATATCCAATGTTGCTTTTTGTTTACATTTTTTTTAAGTAGGAAAGGTGCCGGTACTGTCATTTTTATCGGTTAAATAAAAGTGGGTGGGGTAGAGGTCGAGGGCACTGATGGCTGCCGAACTAAAGAGTAGGTGAGGGGGGGGGGATCCGAAAATTTTTCGCTAAATTCAAATGCCTCACTTTTCCCATAATGTAAGTCTTTAAAAACAAGAAATATTGCCCCCCCCCCCCCCCAAAAAAAAAAAAAAAAAAAAAAAAAAAAAAAAAAAAAAAAAAAAAAAAAAAAAACTGCCGAACTAAAGAGTAGGTGAGGGGGGGGGGATCCGAAAATTTTTCGCTAAATTCAAATGCCTCACTTTTCCCATAATGTAAGTCTTTAAAAACAAGAAATATTGCCCCCCCCCCCCCAAAAAAAAAAAAAAAAAAAAAAAAAAAAAAAAAAAAAAAAAAAAAAAAAAAAAAAAAATCACCCCCCCCCCCCCAAAAAAAAAAAAAAAAATAAATAAAAATAAAATAACTAAAAAATATATAAATAAATAAAATTACCGCTATATCACTATAATATGTGAACAACTAGAAGTCAGTGTGTGGCTTAAAATCATTGGCTGTCTACATTCGGAACAATACTGTTTGTAGAATCAGATGGCGTCTCCAAATTTAGATCTTCACATATACGGAGCCTAGAGATATTTCAATGGTTCCCCTAGTTCAATAATTTTTATCGTTGAGAATTTGGCTATTTGCTACTCTTTTAACAAATGATATAAAAATGTTAACAATTTATTTGTCATGTAGAAAAGTTTAAAATAATAACTAATAGTTTGTATGTGGGGGGTGGGGGGATGGGGCGTCACAAAACAGAAAAGTGGCAGGGACCCTTCAGAAGTCTCTTGACGGCTCTTTGTAGTTAGTATAGTTATTTGAGTTAGTACAGTTAGTTTAGTCAGTACATTTAGTTTAGTTAGTACAGTTAGTATTGTTAGTATTGTTAGTTTAGCTAGTCTAGTTATTATAGTTAATTTAGTTATCATAGTTGTTATAGTTATACAATTATAGTTAGCTTAGTTAGTACAGTTAGTTTAGTTAGTCTAGTTTTTATAGTTAGTTTAGTCAGTAGGCCTATAGTTAGTATAGTTAGCTTAGTTCGTATAGTCGTATAAAAAAAGTTTGTCATCACCACAGCTGGAGCGAAACAGCCATAATCAAGGCAAAAATTACTTTCAACTGCCAAGTAGGCCTACCATTCTAACTATCAGTTTGGACTATATATATATATATATGACCTTTAAGAGCTGTCGGGAGAGGTAATCATGTTAGTCGTTGTACTGCATTAACATGTTTGATTCAAACAGTGACACAGACAGAATTACTTGTGTTGACCTACTTATTTGTTCAAAAACTATTACCCCAAAAATATAAACATAGCTTTTTTGCACAGTTTGCAGGCAGCCAATTTTATTTAATACATCATTTAGTTTAGAGCTAGTATGGTTGGGGGGTGTATTAATTCCGCACCCAGTCCAATAAAATATAAAATCAGCATATGGCCGAAAGTGGCCCCCCTAAATATATATATATATATATATATATATATATATATATATATATATATATATATATATATATATATATATATATATATATATATTTAAATCGCCCCCTTAGGCTAAGGGCTCTCTCCAACTGATTCCATAACAACAAAATACATACCTTGAAACTAAATCTCTACTCACCTCCAAACTAAATCTCTACTCACCTCCAAACTAAATCTCTACTCACCTCCAAACCAAATCTCTACTCACCTCCAAACTAAATCTCTACTCACCTCTAAACTAAATCTCTACTCACCTCCAAACTAAATCTCTACTCATAATCAAACTAAATCTCTACTCACCTTCAAACTAAATTTCTACTCACCTCCAAACCAAATCTCTACTCACCTCCAAACTAAATCTCTACTCGCCTCTAAACTAAATCTCTACTCACATCCAAACTAAATCTCTACTCACCTTCAAACCAAATCTCTACTCACCTTCAAACTAAATCTCTACTCACCTCCAAACTAAATCTCTACTCACCTCCAAACTAAATCTCTACTCACCTCTAAACTCAATCTCTTCTCACCTCCAAACTCAATCTCTACTCACCATCAAACTAAATGTCTACTCACCTTCAAACTTAATCTCTACTCACCTCCAAACTAAATCTCTACTCACCTTCAAACTAACTCTCTACTCACCTTCAAACTAAATCTCTACTCACCTTCAAACTAAATCTCTACTCACCTTCAAACTAACCCGCTACTCACCTTCAAACTAAATCTCTACTCACCTTCAAACCAAATCTCTACCTACCTTCAAACTAAATTTCTACTCACCTTCAAACTAAATCTATACCTACCTACAAACTAAATCTCTACTCACCTTCAAACTAAATCTCTACTCACCTTCAAACTAAATCTCTACTCACCTTCAAACTAAATCTCTACTCACCTTCAAACTAAATCTCTACTCACCTTCAAACTAAATCTCTACTCACCATTAAAGTTAATCTCTACTCACCTTCGTTAAGTTCTTTCATCAAACGCCTTCAAAAATAATTGGTGGTTGGTTTGTTGTTGTTTTTTACTTGTGTGTGGTTTTGTTCAAGGATTCTGCGTCCTAACACTCTGGAGTCACACTACACCAATGAAAAAATATATTTCTATGACCCACAACGTGCGGGAAACCTGGCTTACTTCAGTGAAACAATAGTACAGGATTTGTTAAATCCAATTACGTAACACCGGTGGACCAATTTGGCAGGAACTGCTTGTGACGGTACCGAAGGGGATTGGGAAATAGCACTCAACGGTTCTCAACTTCAACTTTCTCTGTGAACACCCTTGGTACAACTTCACAAATATAGGCATATATTGTCGTTGTTTTTGTGTATAAATAATCTGACAACTACATCTCTCAGGTGAAGCTTTTTGGCGATGTTTTGCAAAACTGTTGACATTCATTTCAATTCTCCCATTATATTTTGAAACGTGTTATTTAGAGAACATCTTAATCGTAGCGATACTTCCTTTAAAAATTACTCTTTTACTCTTTTTCCCTCTTCACTTTAATATATTCACATAAAATACCACGACACACTAGAGACAGTTGACGACACACTTGTGACAGCTGGCGACACACTAGAGACAGTTGACGACACACTGGTTAAAAACCACTCGTCTAACCAAACCAATGTGATTATTAATTTAATCCAAATTGAAGCTCATCTCACTTTATAGGTATAGGGGTAGAAATAGTGCTTGGGGGGGGGGGGGGGCTTGACTTTTCCACCCGTCACTCAAAGAACAACAACAACTACAACAACGGAAACACGTAAAGAACGCACGTCAAACACACGCCATGTGTTATTATAATTGATATCATTAAATGAAATGAACCAAAAACTGATTTTGGGGGATTAGGGTTGGGGGCTTCGGCTGGAAATTCGGAATAATGTTTTGCCATCGGCAACGAGTCTATGTGCCAAGTTTCAGCTCGATAGGTTTACTGGAAGTGGGTCAGTCAGCCATCCGAAGATTTTTGCCCTGAAGTTATTTAAGAAGATTTTTTTTTTTTAATTTTTTTTTTTAAAGGAGCATCAATGGAATAATTAATGAAATACAAAATTGTGTTGGAAACTCCTTTCGAGTTTGACTGATCATGAACAATGTGAGCTCCCCTTGTCATCAACTGATGCTAATGTCGTACTGGTTAAACGCCGATTTGAGACAGAGTTACGAAATACTTTGGTATTTCGCAACATCAAACTTGGTGACATTATCATAAGTGGACGCTAAGGACAGGGTGATATTTCTAATTACATGAAAATGTCATGGAATGCTGCTGAAAGAGGCCTAAGTACATTTACATAATTACTCATGCCAAGGCACCATTGTTCGGCCAGACTCCAGAGTATTGCTTAATGCATAAATGTTTTTGTTTTTTTGTGTGATTTCACCTTGGCCCAAATGTAGGTCATATTAACACTGGTCTGACCGAGCTTGATTTCAGTAAGGTTGGGGTGGGGGGGGGGGGTTATATAGGACAGCAAGGTAACAGACACGATAAAAGTGTAATCTAAGCAAAAAAAATTGCCTTTTTTAAAAGGAACTGAGTAAATCTGCTTCCATTTTCTAACTGTAGAGCTACAATGACATTTTTTTTGAGATCTAACACAAACGTTAGTTTTTTTTTTAAATTAATTTTTTTAATTTAAATTTTCTAATTATATATTTTGTTTTGCCATTTGAAGAAGGCATCTAGCCGAAACGTCTTTTTAACTCCATTTTAATCATTTTAGATCTTTTTCTATTCATTCATAAAGCTGAGTAATTAGATCAACCAGAAAAGAAACACATTATAAATTGACATTTTTATTTGACTGATTTGTTAAGAACACTTTGGAAAGCCGCGATCAGAGCCGCAACGTGGGGCCTGACTCTCATATGGCTGCAGGCGGCCTCGAAGTGTTAAGGAGCCCGAAGACATGATGGGGGGGGGGGAAACATTATTATGACTTTTATTAAAATATTTTATTGCATAAATGTGACGGTACCGAATGGGATTGGCAAATAACACTAATTTGTTAAGAACACTTTGGAAAGCCGCGATCAGAGCCGCAACGTGGGGCCTGACTCTCATATGGCTGCAGGCGGCCTCGAAGTGTTAAGGAGCCCGAAGACATGATGGGGGGGGGGAAACATTATTATGACTTTTATTAAAATATTTTATTGCATAAATGTGACGGTACCGAATGGGATTGGCAAATAACACTCAACGGTTCTCAACTTCAACTTTCTCCGGGGGTATATAATTTATAGCATTTTATTATAAATTTCAATGTCACGAACACTGTGTGAATTTTCTTCTATTTCCAGTAGGTTTTCAGTGTTTTAATGTGCCCAGTCTTTCATTGCGTAAAGTCTTTTTTAAATTAGAAGCAGACCAGCAAACCACATTAAACAAATATAAGAGAGTAATTCTATTTTTCAGGTGTCATATCCATCTGATAAATTTTTGAGAGCTGACGTCAATGATAAGTTTCCGTCCTCACTGCCACTGTACACGTCATTACTTGAACAGTACGAATTAGTAACATCTCTGGACAGAATTACACTAACAGGAGTTGCCGCGAGCCGCTCAGTGGAACAATGTTACCCCGTAGCAATGAGCAGTTCCACAGTCTCGACCACAACACAAAACATGGTTTCTACAACATCCTCCCACCTGAACCTTTCTACTACACCAAGTACCCCCGGCCTTTCAAGATGCCCGAGTATTCATGTTTTAATCTCCAACATCATTGAATCCCTCAAAGCTCAACTGGACACATCAGCTTTAAATGACGAAGTTGACAGATATCTGCGGAACCTGACGGGTCTAGTGACGTCAGAGCTTCGAGCCATTTGTGATATGCTTAGCTCCAATCGTGTAAACATTTCTACGACTCCCGCGTCGCCATGGTTACATTTTGTTGACGTCGATCTAAGGCTGAGGAAGAAAGATTTGTTCGCCTACAAACGGACACTAGTCAGTGCGTGGGATCATAGGTTATCTAGTCACGTGATAGGCGTGTCAGGGGTGACCATCCTGGCAATATGGATTATCATAATTTCCATGCCAGATATTTATAGATGTCTCCGCTACATTTTCAAAACATTAAAAAAACTAACGATCCATTAAAACCTGATCAGATCGTGTCGGAATCGAATGATTCTACCTATCAGGACCAGGAAATATAGTCTTTTGAATTATTGGCATTCTATTTAAGTGTATTTTCTTGGAGCCATAAAACACTTTGTTATTGTATACGATTAGCATTTCTCTAAAAATTAAGCTGTAAATCTTCAAATTTTTAGATATAAAATGAATGATCTTTGATTGCTTTTTATCTTCATTTAATTTATGAAATTAATTAGGGGGGGGGGGCAAAAAAAATCGATTAACTTTCCGGGGGGGGGGGGGCAAAAATTTTTTAGTAATGTTTTAATATAGTTTTAATTTACTGTAGCGTATTTGTATGGTGAACGAACGGCCAGGACATCAGCTTAGTTACTTTCTCACCTTGCCCCTACCTGCGGGCGCCCATGGCCTCAAATAATGCAATAATTACAAACACGACCATGTGCTACAAATCAAATCAGCCAGGCGCACAATTGAACCATAGCACTAACATAGCTATTCTCACGACTGATTATGTTAATTAACCACTTCCACGATGTCAAGGACAAGAAGTTGAGAACAGCGGCAGGACAACAAAGTGGTCTGCCCTGGGGAGATGTCCCCCCCCCTCTCTCGGGTGAAGTCGTTAACCAACACTTAGTGATTTTTCACGTTGTAAAAGTTTTTAAAAAATGTGTTTTATGTAAGAGTCCTGCTTTTCCCTGTGATCAGGTTGTGATTGAGCTAAATCTCTCGTAACATCGTACTGGCATATCAAATCGTATTTGGATTACCTTCGAAGGAGCCGAGAGACTCGGTCAAGGAGAACTAACCTGCACGGTTGTGTTGTCGTAGAGAGATAGCAGCTTGTATACGTCACAGGCTGTCGATTCTGTACTGGAGGGAAAAGTCACTAGCTGCGACGTCACACTGTCCACCGGCCACACCATTTGGAGCGGGCTTTTCGATTTAGGACAAGACTGCGTCTATAGTTACAACAAAAAGAAATGTAACCTAGTTGAACGACTGTAAGAACAGGAGCCTGGAACTTATAGCTGAATAAACCCTGCCATCCCTTTCTTAATATAAAGAAATATATATTTCCGGATTTACTGAGTTAAGTGTATAGGCCTTTAATATGATTGTATAATCCAGCTTAACTCGGAATATTTTAGCTTTTATTTAATATATATATATATATATGTATATATATATATATATATATAGGTATATAAGTTGTTTTTTTGTGTGAAGTCAGCGTCAATAAAATTAAAATGAACATCTTCCCCCGATTTCGGCTGGGCCCATTTGGTGCATTTCATTGTTCTGTGTGTTCATTCAGTTTTTATTTTAACTTTTAAAAATATTGAATTGTTAGGCCTTACATTTGGAAAAAAGTCTCACCTGTGGCGCCGTGTTGCCAAACACAGCTATCGGGCCGTCGGCGTACACAAATGTTCCGCTGACATCACCTTTGACGTGTATGTAGGCCGTCTGATACTGGTCTAAAGTTACATTGATGTATCGGCGTCTCCTGGTGAGCAAATGTGATGGCATCATAGTCGATGATGAAAGGACTCAACATCTCAGACATAATGATCTTACCTCTCAGACACAGTGAATCTACATCTCGAACATAGTGACGCCACAAAACTGAAGTAGGCAAAGTATAAGACGTGTAATGGAATTCTCTGGTAATAATTAGTCTATATCATAAAATCTGGTTTGTAAGAAATATTTGCATGCACTCCTTATTTAAATTTGTCAAAATATCATTTAATCAGATTGAGTTGTACAGATATGTTGTGAGGGAACAAGACGAAGACCAACAATCCCAATGACAGTCATTCTGTTCCAGCTTCACAGTCCTACAAATAATCAGTGATGAAAAAAAATTATTGGTCAAGTAAAAAATATAATTGCAAACCAAAATTGTTCAGCCTTTTAATTGATATTATTACAAATTCTGGATAAGATAATATGCCTGGCAACCTACTCAATGGGAAATCCTGTGACCAGTGTGCCCTTCTGTACCAAT